TTTCCTATCCCTTCCTGTTTTCTCTCTCCTTCAGCTTGAAAATATCACTTACCACTTGCACTAACATAGCTTAGTGCTAGCTTACAATAGTGCCTGCCCCATTCCTGTGGACAGCCCTCACAAAAAAACAAAAACAAACAAACCCCAAAAGCACGCACACATGCACCCTCTCTTTGTCTCTCTCTGGCACTATTTAGAGAGTCATTGTGCTCATAAAGATAAGCCTCAGCATCAGCCAGAGCACCACAAAGCTCCTGATAAGGCACATTCTGCAAAACTTGCTACAGCAGAAATTGAATCTACACAAAAAAAAAATCCAAATGAAAAAACAAGAACTTGTGGTGGCTCAGAAATGTCACTGTTTCTGCAAGCAGCATGCCAAATTATTACATTATTCTTTACTTTAAAGATTCCCTAAACAGCAGCTGTTTTAAAGAGAAGAGAGAAAAAAATGTAACGTTTAGGTGACTGAGGGGTTACATAAACTGCATCTAAAGCAAGAGATTTCTTGCAGCTTTTTAAAATGACTTTTTTCGCGCTTTCTCACTGGAACAGCAACTTGAGGTGACATGACTTCCAAATAAAGCTTTTCTCCTTGCCATCAAAAAAGATTGCATGCTGGTACAGTCGATGTAACAGATGGGGCAGAAAGCAAGAAGGGCGCAAAGATGAATGATAAGCTCAAAACCAGATAAGGCAAATACAAAGATTCACACTGCGATAAGAAGTAGGCGAAAGTGAAACAGGAAAAACAACAGAGGGGAATTTAAATAAGAGAACACTGATGGAAAAAAAATGAAAAAGACACAACAACTTCAGCCAAAAGAAGATGTTACTACCAAGGCATGCATCAGAAATCAAAAGAATATACAAGGTTGCTGTATATTCTGTCCAGTCTGAATCAAAAGGCCACACCAAAGGCAGACAACATGGATATATAAGGCTTACATCTGGCAAAGCGAGAGAACATGAGAGCATAGAGTACCTATTTATGGGAGGACTGTCACTGGATGGTGCGACACTCTCAGGGCGGGAGGGAAGTCCCAGTCAGGCAGCCAGCCAATGGGAACAAGAGAGGGAAGAGCATTCAGTGAATAGGGGAAGGAGGGGAAAGTAGGGTGGGAACTTGTCGTGGGAACCCGAAGGCACAATTTGTGCAGTCCCAATGGGTATACGTTGATTTAGTAGTCAGCACCGTAGTAGTTCAAAAACTGTAGTCCAAATCAAATACCCACCATTATCTAGCACAGGAAGGTAGCGGTCTTCTTTTTGCTTTAAAGTTGTTGTTTTGATGTTGTGATGCATGCAGTGTTTAATGAAGTGGGGCACTCTGCATATGACCGTACATACTGACAGTGGTGCTAAAGACCAACTTATTACCAGGTTGAGTATCAGTGCTTCGTTTTAACCTCATCAGCATCCAGAACAAGTTATGTGCATAGTTCAATGTTTTCAAAAGGGTGAATAACTGTATATACGCCAGAGTGACGTCACACTGTACCTGGGGTGCACTTCCACATCACTGCATCAAGGAACTATTGGAAATCATCACTAGAATATTATAAGCCGATTTAAGGTTGCTGAAAACATCATGAATAAATAAAAAAGCAAGAGAACTTCACGGCTTCCTTTAGGGTTTCCAGATCATGGTAAAAATATTTCATCTGTGAGCCAAACTGATAAGGGAGTTTTAAGACCAATATCAGGACAGATATTTGGTGTTTAAAAGGACGACATATAAGCCAATATTTTTGTTCATTATAGACAGTAGGTTGTAAGTAAGTAGTATCAAGTAATATTTTATTTCAAGGCAACCAGAAAATAATCCCGAGAAAGCATCAAACCACAAACTTAACACATTTTCATGTAAATCCATATTAGCTACCTATCTTAATCGTTTCTGGTGATTAAGAACCCTGCAATGTACTTTATATGCTTTTTGTTTTTGCTTCTTGGTTTTAAATATATTATCATTGATTATTATTTAACTATATAATTATTACTCTGTACCTTTCACTGTTTGAGAGGCAAAGTGTGAAATGGTTACGGTATCACTGATGTCAACAGACACACAAGAGCCTGTTTTATTAAAAATATTCACTTTGGCATCTAAAATCTAGGTTTGCTGAAATAACTGTTACGGGGAAGCAAATTATATGTTCCACAGAATCCTAAATTCTGATAATAAGGTCAGAATGAGCAACGGTGCATTACAATTAGCAAGTGTCCCTGAGAAACCGTTTTTTCACACCTTATGGCATGTCTAAAAAATTTAAATTGCAGAGAAACAAAATGACTAAATGGCTCCTGATATGTATTTTTAACATCTAACTTATGCACTGATTCAGTTTGTCAAGAAAATATTGTAAAGATGGAGAAAAAGTTACAGTAAAATGTGGTTTTACTGGGTTTATCCCCCCACTACAGCACCTGTTGGTTAAGGTGAGACAGGGTATGTTTGGATTCCTCTAAAACGACTGACTACAGTGAATGCCTTCGGATAAATAACAGGCGACTTGTTCTGCCCACTGCCTACTGGACGGGCAGTGGAGCACTTGGTCTTACATCTGTTTGGGCTCTTCTATCACAAGGACAAATGCAGAAAATCTTTCCTCAGTGTATTATATTTAGGTTTGGATCTACTGAACTCTTCTCTTGTTTCCATTTTCTGTTTTTATTGATTTCTTTTTGTGTAACCTTTTACATTTTGGGACTATTTTGTTTTGTGATATTGTATTTATTTTTATCAGGCTATGTTGTTTTTAATGTTTTTAAGCTGCAGTGCTATAGTAAATTCCAGTACAGTAAACTTTTGGGATAAAGTATCGTAAACATCTTTATTCATCTAGTCTGTCAGAGCTTTAGCATGTGCAATGCATATCATTATGAATCTATTCGTTAAATAAAAAATAAAACAAAAATGTTGATTCAAACTTTGCAGTCTTGTTTCCGAGTTCATCTCCATGCGCGCCTAACGCTGCTTCCAGAAATGCCATTTTTAGATTGTTCCTGGGGTGTCCTGCTCTGAACATCTGGGCTTGAAAATCTGCAATGTAGGCTCCTCTACTTTGTCAGAATGAAATTTAACTTCAACTTTATTTGGAGAAAGAGGGCACAGGTGCAGGGAGCCAAATCTGGCAAACGATGCAGGTGGTCAGCAAAGACTGTGTTGAAAAAGCCAAAAAACTCACATGGTTTTAGGCACTGCTGTGAAACAGCGCACAACAGTGTGTGGCATCATTTCAGCAGCAAACATCCTCCCTCGGTCTTTGCAGAGCTCGGCACTGACAGTCTGACCCTAGGGGATAAATTCATGGTGCGCAACCTCTTGAATGTGCGAGAAAGCAAAACGTCTGCGCTTATACACAGCCTCTGGGCTTGGACACTGTGGTGCTTTCCAGAGAAAACCTCCTGTTTGGTCTCCAACTCATTTCAACTGCAATGGTCCTTCATTTGAGCTGCATCTGTTTCATTCATTTGACAGAGAAAATTATGTTTGATCTCCACACAAGTTCAAGATCATCGTGTAAAAAAAGCCAAAATAAAACAAAAAAAACCTTCAGAGTATCTTCATACTGCAGCCAAACCGAAAGAGATGCAGATTTACTCAAAGAGGAAAGACGAAATCTGCCAAATTTAAATCATGCATGATTTATTTAATTTTATTTATTATTTATTAATTTTATTTTATTTATTTATTTATTTTTTGGGGGGGGGGGTAAATTACATTCAGTAGGATTCAATCCAGCTGTCAATTCAACTAGAAGGTGCTTAACTTCAGTCCAGTTTACAAATTATAAAATGGACCATTAGCCACCTCAATGACTATATTTCAATGCATAAAGGCTAAAAATATATCTCGCTAAAGAACAATTTATGGATCTTTTGCTAATCTCTGGTCACAGGAATGTGTCTTTAACAGACAAGAAAACATGTTCCTTCCCAGAATAAACCAAAAGTTCAATTAACCATGTTCACAAAAAGCAAATAAAAACCCTGTGCATATACTGTATCTTCTTGCAAATGTGCAGAAATCCCTCCTGCAGTATAGGACAGTGCGTGCTGTACAGTAATCCAGCCTCTTAATTTTACACATGTTGGGTTTAACTCAGAAACTTGTGCCTCGGGGAACAGAAAAGCTTCATGCCATTCCAGACATGCTTGTCTGTCTCAATAAAGACAGACAATCAGTGGTAATAGACATTACTACAACAGCTGGTAAGTGCTGCACAATGAAGCTGAGTGGTGGCTTCACTAGCAGGTTATTACTGTAGGAAGATAACAGTCTGTGAAATAGACAGAATTGTATTTCATTTTCATTTCATTTCAATTTGAGAAGGTCATGATTTAAAATCTAATAAACATTTTAACTGTACACAAATTTAAACTCTGACTTTCTGTTTTCAACCCAAAGACGTGTTACTGCTATGAAGTTTACAATCAGACAAAAAAAACAGTGTCTGCACACATAGATCACAAACATATGAATAAATATGTTTATAAAGTTATGTTGTATGTTTTCATACAGCAGGTGTTACACAGGCCTTCTGCAGTAAAGCAGTTTTTGTGTTGTTATTTCAAACTGCTCTCGGTGATGATATAGACCACTTCTTGGAAAGTGCTTTAAATAGCAGGGGTTGTTTTATCTCAAGTGGCTCCTGTGGGAATAAAACCCATTATCTATGTCTTCTAAAGCTGGAATACCTTATACATGATGCCTCTTTCAATTTGTGGCCATGTTTAACACTGTCACGGCAGAGCTGAAAAAATATTACAGTCTAATAAATTTATCTTCCCGACACACCTTAAATTTTAATGTTCAGATGGTTCTGGTGGTTTAATTGGCTAACAGGACATCAGTATATGAGAAACACCCAGAGGGAATCATTCCAAGTTTTGTTTTTAACCAAGAACCAAGAAAAAGTGCAACTATAAGACAGAAAAAAGATAAACATCAATCAAAATCGGATAAATACTCTGTATAACAAAAAGAGGCGTACCTTAAAGGCATACTTGCGGTTGATGTGATCCTCGAGTCCCACTGGTGAAATGACATAGCTGGGCAGAGGAATACTGCCCAGGACTGACTCCTCTCTGCTGTCTGGAGATAGAGCGAGAAAGAGAGAGAGAAGAACGAGAGAGGGGAGGTCAGCGGGGTGAGGGGGAAAAAAAACAGGCAAGAGATATAGAGGACAGGAAGGAGCGACAGAATAAATATCACTCATCAGCCCACTAATTTCCTCGCTGCCAGCCACCAGTATCACAACACTGACAAACACGAACTCGTATGACATCACTCATACCACAGTGTATGCCAAACAGTAAATGACCACTCTGGCATGCCAGTGTCACAGAGTTAAAGCTCCTCTGCTCCAGCTGGCAGCCGGCCGCCTGTCCTCAGCCCCGTCCAGTTTACACGTTGAGATCACAGTCAGCACATGCACATGCACACACACAGATCTGTCCTTTGTAAGAACCATCACTGATGCAATACGGTCTTCAACTTTTACCCTTCAAAGAAAAAAAAAGTCTCCAAAAACACTTCGCAGTGTTTTATAAACAAAAATTCATCACATATTTGTTTTCCACTGAATATTGTAATAGCATGCTAGAATGTGTATGGTAAGGACAGTGTCTCCATGTGCGACGATTACCACATCGTAAAATTTAGCAATAGCATGAAAATGTGTGCGTGTGCATGCAGCACCTGCGTATGTGGGCGGTTTGGCTGAGAGGTGATAAGACGGCGCTGTAGCTAAAGGAGTAATTGGTTAAAAATAATTCAAGGACCTTTGAAGGGGACATTCCCTAAATGGTGGGCAAGATAGTGGGGTCTTTTTTATCTGCTCTGCCACGTCTGTCTCACACACTTTGCGGGGTATGACATACAGTGTACAGCCCCTTGAGTCAAATTTGAGTTGCGATATTGGGCTTTAAAAATAAAACTGACTTGACTGAAAACAGACCACAGAAGACATATGAGGGGAAAAAAGAGGAAGAAACAAAGGGGCCTCGTTCATCAATGATCCCTGCACACAGTCACAGTCATTTGTGAAAACAGCGCGTACAAATATTATCTTGTGTGTGAGTGTGCATAAATTTCGAAGCTCTCAGCACCATGCGTGTGTAGATTGCTCCCATGAAGGACTACTTACAAAATGCAAACGCAGCTCACACAATAAAACTGCTGGAAACGCAAAAGCACAATACCAACTAAATAATCATCTCTAATCTGAGAACTTTATTGGAGAGCACATTTTTAGTGACAGCAAAGCCCTCCAGAGACTGATGTGCAATCACTAGATTCAGTTTGCTGCAGCCAGTCTTTCATCCCAAGTGCCATCAGCTTACTCCAATATTAAAGAAGGACAAAGGCCATGCAGGTGCAAACATAAGACTTACTGATTCTGGATTTTCTGCACTCTCAGATGGGTCTGAATAAAATTGTGCATTTCAGTCTAGTAAGAGTTGTTCATAGGTTGTTCCCACAAATACCACTATTTTCTTTTCTTTTCATGTAAGCAGCAACAAGTCTATTAAAGTAAAGTCGGCTTCCATAGATGGGTAAGGGTTAAAAATACTTAGAAGTTTTAATATTTTATTTTATTCTTATTATAATCTGAATTTCTAGAACTCAGCTTGGCATTTTCAAATTCTTGTTTTCCCATAACCATCGGATCAAAACCCAGAAAGAAAATGACAAAGAAAAGATGTGAGAATCATTTTCAGCAACTGCTAATTCATTTTTATATATGCATTTAATTGCGTAATGTTGTTTTAAGGAGTCAGTATTTTCATGCAAATATAATGTTGGTATTAAAAAAAACTTACTGTAAAAGCTCTGACATTTATCATCAAAACAAGAAAAGTCCTAATAAAAAACAAAGATAGCAAAGCCGTATTTGACTGTTTGGGTAGGGAAGGGAGGAGATAAGTCGTGTTGAAGAGAGAGATCAAGTGTGCTCATGTTGGGAGGAGAAACCTTTGAACTGAGCGAGAAGACAGAAAAAAGGGAAAAAACAAAAACAACAGAATTGATTTCACCCTCCTGTCGAGGTGAGCAGGCAGAGGAGCGTGTCCCAAATGTTTGGCTACAACCATGGAGATAAAAATGGTGTGGAGAGATAGATAGCGACAAGCAGGGAATGGTAGACCAATTGTGATGGTGTGTGTGATGTAGAGCATCGGTGTAAGCAGTGTGTACATGTTCATTGGTTGGAACCACATAACAGATACAGAGATTACTGCTCACCTAAAGTGAATTTCTGGCTGCTTTGTCAGCTGCAGTTTACCGAAAACTGTCATAGTCTACTTTGATCTTTGTCCTTTAACCTTTTGCATTGATTGTGGATCTTTCCATCCTCTCATAATAAACTCTCCTCACCGGAAGTGTATCATTTTATGCATTTAATTTTTCAATCAATACCATAGAGAAACATGCAGAGTGCACATTTTCTCGTCTGCATCAAGTTCTACAAAGTTTGGATGAGACACTGCGAGCTACTGAATCAAAGATAAGCTACTTCATGAAGGCTGCAGAGGCATGCCAGTTATGATGTGTGATTTCCTTTAATGATGTTTCAATTATTTTGTCTTAAAAGGAACTTTTGAGGATTAACAGATTATAACTTTTCATTTAAACTGCTTCTTCTTACACCCTGCTTGGGCTGGCTGTGTCCCAGTGTCAAAGTACATCGGGTTGGGATAGGATGGAATTTTTTGGCTTGCTCTTCTCCTTTCTTCATAAATGTCAGTTCTGGCATTATTATGCAAAACACATATTAATGTGAATAATAATTAAAAAAACAAATATAAAACAAAAAAAATTTGACTAGCAAGACGAACCTGTAGTTTATAGAGCTCTCTTGGCAAATAAAATATTATTGGCACAACAGGGCATTCAGATCTCACACTACTTTCACTTAACATTCCACAAAGACTTACCTTTGTAGTAAAACAGACAGAAATCAGCCAAGACAAACCATTTCCTCTTCCAAAGACGCATCCCAGAGCTGTCCTGAAAAAGAAAGAGAGGTAAAGAGTTTAAGTGAAGAATGCATAAATAATAAGATGAGAAGTACCACTAACTGGAGAAGATAACAAGCAAGACTAGAGAGCTCTTAAATAAGAAGAGAGAGGAGGTAATGAGAAAGGAAGGAAGAGCCTGAGAAATAAGGATGCAGAAAGGGGAAGTGAGGGACAGTAGTAAGGTGGGTACATGCAAAGGAAAAGAGAAAAGACAGAGGGGGAAGGGAGTGATCATTTGTCCTCATTCGCTGGCTCACTGAGTCTGCCATGAGTGCTTTACTGCCCATTTTGTCTTTTATGTCCTTTGGCTGAAAATAGGTCCATTTGAAGAGCTGAGCAGATACAGCAGTGGCTGAAGATGTATGATGCTACGACCATATAATACAAGCATGTGAGTGGATGAAAGGCATAAACTGCATTATGTCAGTCTGGCCATGATAGTGGACATCTGTGCATCAGTGTGTATAATTATTTATAGCAATGTGCTTATATTTATGTGCACCAAAATAGGATTCAAATTGTGTGCATTCATGCACCCCAGAGCATTTTAAAGGGTTTCTTTCTAATTAAAATATAATGTAATTGCAGTAAATAGATCGTGTGCACAGTTGCGAGTGTGCTACTGTCTGTGTGACTGTGTGGGCATGCCTCTTTGTGTGGTCATTAAAATATTGCTTCATAGTAACATCACTCACTGTTTGTCTTGTACGGAGGCCAAGAATCTCCCAGTGGGATGATGCCAACAACAGATATTTTAAGTATAACTTCAAATAAACAAGTAGTCTCTAGTAACAGGCTGTCTGTGATTAACAGCAGGTGTTCAGTATTGCCAAAGCAAAGGAAATAAATCAAGAAAAATATCAAACTGGGTTACTGAAGGAAATGTTAGAGAATCATGCTGGATTAAGGGATTGCTGACTAAAAGAAAGCACAGTACCAGTAGTCTCATAAATACTTTAAAAGTATACGACAATTATTTGCTCCATAACTACTATTATCAGGCTAATTGCAACTTTTTTCAGCATGACAGTATTTCATTAAATGTCTGCAGGCTGTTTAAAGCCATATGTTTCATATATTTATAGACGTAGAAGTTAAAAGCTATATATCCACAGCTGAATTTAGATTTCAAAGAAAAAAGAAAGACATTTTATATCAAACGTATTTGGTTACTTTAAAATAATAATTGCCAAATAAGTGAACAAAAGTATTATCTAATGTGCTAAACACATTTTTACACTATTATGTACACTTTTCACATTTATTTTCATTTTTAAATCTTAAACTATCACAAAGTTGTCCTATTCAGGCGTAAAAAAAGCAAATCAAGCAAACCCAGTTCAAACTTTATCAACATTAGTCTTGATGTGACTGTATGCAAGTTACAATTGGTGTTTCCGTTTGAGTGTCCCAACCTGTTTGTACAGCCATCCGCGGACCACCACAGGGACGTTGGGATTCCTCTTGATGGACTGCTCTCTCTTCCCAAAGCTGTGCACCTTGCCACTGGACCGGGAGCCCTGTAAAAGACAGAAAGAATATAGAGTGATTTTATGTGACATGCGTTAAGTTAACAGTTCATCTGTATATTTTAATACAACTTCTGGAGCCTTACTGCAGATTTTTCTCTGTGTAAAACCACTTGCTGAAGGCTGACAGCCTATTTTACAGGAAGCGATAACTGCAGCAAACAGGGGTGAGTCTAAAGGGGGCCATGACCACATTAATGTCAAGGCTTTTGTAATATTTTTTCAGAGTAAATGTGAAAAAAAAAATACAATATTGTGTTAATTAAATTAACATTTAAAAATATAAGAATAAAAGCTTTTTTCATAAGCCAATAAAAATGTTCACTGGCCATTAAACTCTGAGCCACTGACCTGAGGGTTGTTATTCTGGATACTGAATTATTATTAATATTAATCAATGTTTGCAACATAACAACATCTGTTTTCAGCAGCAGAAAAACTTGCTTCCTATTAATCTCAGAAAGCCTCCAAGATGACAGAGCAAACTTTTTTTTTTGACTTTGATCTTTGACTGTACTTAAATAATTTATTTCAATATGACATGTACATAAAAGGGTTTAGTTGGCTTTTTTTTTTGGCAGATGTTGTATGCAGTTAAACCTTAAAACACTCCAATTTCTGAAATGGAAACCAATGAGCCGTTCATTGTGAAAGACCTGTGTTTTTTTCTCTTTGGAATATGTATTATTTCTCATTAATAAGACAAAAGTATTTTTTGACTCGATTATATGATGGAATAAACAACAGGGAAGCGTATCTACTTAAATTCTGAACAGCTTGATTAGAGCCTGTCTGACTACATTAAGGATCGGAAAATAACCAGCTTCTCTACATAAGAGAAATGAGGCCAATTTTACATCAACTAGCAAACGCACTGTTCCACCTAAGCTCTCTGGGAATAGTGCATGCTGACCTCAAACCTAGAGACACAATGGTTATGGACCGCCATCAGTCTCCCATCAAAGGACTCAAAATTGCTGCTTTCAGTCAGAGATCTGGTAGCCACTGATAGCCAGCCCTCAGTTGAATGTCAGCCGCTAAGTGTCCCCCCTCTTTCCCTTGGGACGTATCTACTTTTCACTATAAACACGCCCCTTTCACCCAAATGCACAGTGTCACCATGAGATGGTGCTTTTTTCAAAAAAACTTTGACTTGTATAGTTAGCTATAGATGATTTTCTCTGTATTATTGTAGGGTCTTTGCCTTATAATATAAAACTCATTGAAGGCACCGTTTTGATTTGGCGCTATGAAAAAAATGAATTGAATTTCAAATTCTTTTGACAGCTTTCGTAAAGAAATAAAGAAATCATTTTTTTGCACACAAGCTTCCTCGTAGATCCCAAACCAGATGTGGAAGTTATTTTTGAGACTGATAGAACTTAATTTTTCATTTAGCCTATTGCTTGCTGGGTCTTATTTCTTCAGACCTCTGTTTAATCATTAGCATGTCCTTCAATTTTTCTTTTAAGTTACAACTTAATATTTTGATTTATTCTTTAGATTACGTTAAAATCTTATATTGTGCAAAAGTCTTGCGCGATCCATAATTTCTCTAGATTTTACATAATAGCGCCCAGACTTTCACCTAGCTTTTTTTTTTTTTTTAAGTGCTCTCTGGTTTTATGAAGGCGTTTCAAAGCTGCTCTTTGGACACAGACTACGTTTAGCGGCAGACAACTTGAGTAAGCAAGCTTGAATGTGATCATTAGCCATTACTGTTAATTTATTGGGAAAACGTAAATGGCGAGAATTACCAATAGTTTTAAGCACAGTGCCTGAGCTATGGAGTTCACTCCTACAGCAGCATTTCACTGACCTTATTAATCATTAGAAATATTCACAACAAAGTGCCACATCCCCAATTAGGGCACATTTAAATTTAAATTTTGCATTTTATATAAGAACATTAGCAGTGCAATGAAGTCAGCAAGAATGCAAGCATCAATTTCTGTCTGGCTTTTTTGGTGTGCACAACCTGTACCTTATTTGATGCAAACTCATATATATATATATATAGTGTAGCAAGCCTGTAAATGAATGCATCTCCACGCTGCTTTACCATTGCTACTGGTTTTCCTAAATGCCGCTTAGGGGCGTTACTACTCATGCTTGCATCATCCAGGCGTCCTAGACGGGGGATACCAATACGATCACCCATCATTCGGCAGTCGGTCAGGATTCAACCAGGGATCCATCATGGCCCTGTTGCTGATGAGGTGGCCATTTTAAGTGGCTGTATCTTAGCTGCTGCAGCTCATCGGTACCATTCATCTACTGTGCTAAATTAGCTTGGTTAATTACCTATATGACTGCACTAAAGGCACCTTGGCATATTTCTTCTCCTTAACACAACTGTGGTGAAAAAGGCAGCAAGCAAAAGCAGGACAGTTTACTGTGTTACAGTAGGTTATATTTGGAAATAGGCTGTCTGTGTCTCATCAGACCATTCAATCTTACTTATATCACTGAACAAACTTTCACCCACACTATGATTTTCTCTTTTCGGCTACCCTTCTTTTTCTGCCCTAGTTGTAATATAATTACAGCTATTATATGAGCACAGACAATTTTTCCACCAGATCTCTGTGACAGTCACTCTTGCTATGACATTTGTCTGACATTGACAAAGCCTCTTTAGACTGGCAGGCAGAAGGTTAGGCATGTGGGCTTGTAACCTGCAGGTCAATATTTCAACTGCCAGACACAGGAAAGTCTGACCTTTGAATCTGACTGACTACCATCAAAAAAAGTGAGGGAATGACTGCAAGAACACTGGGAGTATTAAAAGACTGTGTTGATGTGCATTATCTTTGTAAGGCTTAGGAAGAAAATCCAAAGATTCTTTTTCAAAATGACCAGAGTAAATTAAAGTTCCTTAAAACAAGGTAAAACCTCTGTATCCTCATTTACTTTAACCTCCTAAGACCTGAACTCTTCCATGGCATGCATTTTTAATTTCTCTTTGATATTTGGGCTGATTGGGACCCGATGAATGTAAAAACAAAGAATTACCAGATTTTTATTTTTTTTTACCTTATTTTTGTTTCTAAGACAAATCAGAGCCACATATGAGGATATTCATTTAACATTTTGATAGAACAGTAGCAGTATAATGTCCTCGTAAGTGGATATCAGGCCCTTGTAGAGCAAAATTGAGTATTTTGGACTAAATAACCCAAAATGTGATGTCCATATATGTGGACGCCAGGTCCTAGGAGGTTAAGATGACCTTGAATATCATAACTAACTTATGCAGCTGTAATATTGCATTTTGGGTTATAATACTGGAAGGTGCAATATTAACGTTTTTTTAAACCAAGGTTATTGCATAAATTCTTTTTAATTAATTTATGTAATATATTACTATTAACTGTCATTCTCATTCAGACCCAAGGAGATTTTATACCAGCTTCCACTGGGTGAAACCAGGGGCAGATTAATAAGATTTAGGTGGCCATGGGCAAAACTTTTGGACCCAGGTGACCTTCATGTTTCCACTGTGTGATTTTGTTTTTTTCTTGATTTTTGTTTTGTTTATTTACATATATTTAGTAAAGTTTTACTAACTGGAAGACATCAAGCATACCTGAAATAAACTGAAATAATATTTTGGATATATAATAATAGAGGTGCTGACTTAAGACATTTTAACTTTGGCTCAGCTGCTGCAGTGCAGGTAGTAATTACAGGACACTAGCACATTAAATTCTGCAGATTTGGGGTGCTGGAAGGTAGTGCAGTATTTAAAAGTGAAGGGAACACTGTTAAAACAGGAAAGGACTTTGACAGAAGACAGAAGATCATTATGTCAGATAACGGCAAGAAAAATGCCTTGAAAGCAGGTAAATTTTAATGTAAGGAATACCCTGACAGTAGAGCAGGGCGATATGACCAAAAATATTTATCACGATATATATTTGAAAATTTGCGATAACGATATAACCGACAATATAATTGATGCGAGACAAATTACAACTCCACAACATTACTAGCGCAAAAAGACAACCTTCCATTTATTTTCACTTAAACAAGAAGCTGGTTTTTATGTACATTAAAGCTTTATAAAAATGTAACAGTGCAAATGCAAATTCCTTGCTGAAAGTTTAACCAAAAGGCATTTCCAGTAGAAATGGGCTGACACATCCTGAGCATAACCATGTATAATATCCACTGAAGTTAAAAAGAGGTGCTTTGCAACATTAAACTGCAGTGTGCAGTACACATTTTTCGGACCATAAGGTGCACGGGATTATAAGGCACATTAAGCGAAACAAAGCAGTCAGATAAATCAAACTTTATTAAACTCATTCTTCTTGCTTCCTCCACTTCTGTACCATTGATTCATTAATGTTGAATTCTCTGGTAGCTGCTCTATTCCCATGTTGTTGTAGTATATTAATGACTAACCTCGTATTGTGGATGGATTATCTCAGTTGTTCTCCTGACTGAAGTTTGGTCCATTTGCAGCATCCTGCCATGCGATTGCATTTGTCCCTAACCATCGGGAACCCTCACGTTAACTTTTATTGAATGGAAAAAAGTTAGCGTTCATCCTCCAGCTTCACTGTTTATGTTATGCTAACATAGCTGTGTCGCTAGCGATCACGTAGCACATCATTATATACCAGCTAGCCCAACTTCAGTAACCCTACAAACGTCACTGCTGTTTAGTTTCCTGTCTTCATTTATGTTGGACGTGATAGCAGAGCTGTACGTTTGAATTTTTTCAGAAATCTCTCAGTCAGAACCTGGTATATCATGCTTAGGTAACTAGCGAAACTAGCGAGCTAACTTCCGCTAGCTTCCTGCTAACTTCTAACTCCGTTAAATGTAATAACTTTTGTTTTCATGGATGCCTGGAAGTTAAACTTTATAGTTACACCTGGTAAAGCAGCAATGCTGATGGTTTTATTAAAGATGAAAGAATTTAGACAGTTTTTAACTCTCAGTGATGCTGCAGTGTTGTTTGACCTGAAGTATACAGAGTT